TGCAGAGCCAGCAATAAGTGATTAATCAACGGTGAGAAAAACAAGGACGAGAAAAATACAGAAAATAAAAATGGAAATCAAACCCGTGGATACCACTGTACCATTGTTGTTTCTTATAAACACCATACCGACTCCATATTTGTTTTTTTCTAACCAAAATGAGATACTGCTCTGTTATCTTTTGTTTCAGTCAATAATAATATGGACATGGTTCCTTATCCCTATAGCATTCTTCCCTGCCATTTTTTTATGGCTCAAAGACTGCACTGTCCAATATGGTAACTATTAGACATAAATAAGTTAAACTTAAATCCATTAAAGTTAAATAAAATTAAAAATTCAGTTGCACAAGCCACATATACTGGACAGTATAAACAGAATGCTTCCATCACCACAGAAAGTTCAGTGGGCAGTGCTGGTCTAAGGGATACACTAATCGGTGTGACCAGGCCCTCTGTGTTGCACTCACAGGATGTTTCCAAGTTCACTGATTTTGAAAAGTGGTGGTGTTTTGTGTAAGGTCCCCACTAAACGCAAGTGATGCGGGCAGTGATTTTGCTCTCTGCTATTCCTCAGCAACGAGCACAGGGGCTGGCACCCGGTAAGTAGTCAACAAATATTGCTGACGGAATGGATGAGTGCGCATTCTCACAGGTGATCTTAGGATATATTCCAGTTCCAGAAATTAAAGCTCTGTTCTAGAGCTTTCGTGACCTGCTGGGAAACCGCTAAGGCTGTACCAATTTCCACTCTAGGTCTGAAGGTCTTTGTGGCTCTCGGCAATGCTGCATTACTAAGGTGATGACCTTCAGAGGCCCCAGAAGGAAGGAGCATCTAATCTAGCAACTGGAATGTTAAACTCTACTCAACTGCTCATCCTCACTTGGTCCTGCACTCATGCCTGCACTCAACAAATCTGCTTGCACACCTACTAAGTGCCAGGCTCTGTTCTGGTAACCATCTCCATGCTCACAGTGAGCGGTAGGTGCTCAATCATCTGTGGAGTGAACAGGCTGAAGATGGGGTTCAGTGTGATAACCCAGGATAAGCTGCAATGACCTTGATGATCCCAACATGCCTCTCAATAAGCATCTCCAGCAGAGGGCCCAGCCCATGTCCAAGAGCTGCAGCTCCAGCCAAGGACTCCAGGTAAGCAGAGGCCACTTTCTACTTTGGGGCTAGTCACCCAGGCCCCAGGACCACAACAAACCGGAGGGAAATGGAACAGGGACTTACCTTGGTTGGAACCGTCGAACCACATAGCCCAGTCTCTTCAGGTGGCTGAAGACCTCGAAAGGAAAAAAAAGTAAAGGTTCTGTGTCCTTTATAAAATACCACCTAGTTTCTCCAGACAGAAG